ATACGGGGGGGTATAGACGATTTGTTATACAGTAAGTACAGTTGTATGCAGTAAAATCCTAGAGGCTACTGTCCCTTTAAATGATCGCCCTTGGTTCCAATGTTGGCATGAGGGAGTTTGTGAGGGTGTATTGCGAAGGGTAAACTAGGTTCTGATAAGTTAGAAGATTCTGTGGCCCTCATGTTCTTATTGTATCTATAATAATGTATTCTACTTTACCTTGTAGCCTGTGATTGAGGGCTGATATAGGATTCAGCTGGTTATGTTAATTTTTTGTGAATAAAGTATCGATATCTATAAGTATATATATATATTATATCAGGAGTAAATAATCACAAATTGTAATTGTAAACACATAATTTGTGAATATTTACTCCTGATGCCTTATATATTTTCTACCGTACGATCATGGCTGACGTTCACACTCGCACACCTACGCTACATTCGCTTGATGAAGCCATCGATCGCCGTGCTAATCCTCCCGTCGTTTGTCTCCGCACGATTTCAGGCGAGGGACCAGGAACGACGAGTTCGTGCGCGAGGTGGTCCCGCCCACCTCTGCCTCTCCTCGATCCGACACGACACAGTCTCACCTTCCAGCAGATCGACCTAGACCACTACATAGGTGAGTGGTTTCACTTACAGGAGTCAGGGGTCACTGATGGGTTCGGGTACTTGGTGTTGACTGAACGACTGTGGTCTCTGCCGCACGCTTACTGCTTCTTGCTAACTTTGCTCCTTACTCGTTATTTTGCGGCGATTTTGTGGTGGTGCCCCGCTGAAAACGATAGTGGGTCTTGGACCGTCCACCATCATTTTGAACTCAATTTTGGCAGCAAAACTTACTTATCATTGGGGTCGTGTGTGGGATGCGAATCATGCGATGCACGCCCGGTTGATGCACGTTTCCCTAACCTGCTCCTTTTCGCTTCCTTGTCCGTTGCTAGGCGACCACATGGAGGGGATGCCCGGGTCGACGGTGGGATCGAGCCCGATCATCCGCATGTACGGCGTGAATATGGAGGGAAACAGCGTGTGCGCTCACGTTCACGGATTCACGCCGTACTTCTACGTCCCCGCGCCGGCAAACTTCCGCGAGGAGCACTGTGGTCTGTTCAGGGTGCGTATGTGTGCGTACGTGTGTGCATGCGTGCGTGCGTGCATGCGTGCGTGCGTGCGCGCGCGTGCGTGTGTGTGTGCGTACCTGCATGCATGTGTGCATGCATGGTTGTGTCCCTGCGTGTGTGTATGTGTTACCAATAGTGTGATATTCAAGTATATTTTTTAGCGATAGTACTGAAAAAGTGGCATTGCATTTTGCTCGATTTCGAAAATGGCAACAAACGTGCGACTGATAAAATGGCTGTCATACGTCCTGTTTACGCGGTACATACTATTTTTCTTATCAATAATATTTAGAGTTTGCGTGGTACGTACTATCTTTATTTTTAATATTATTTAGTGTTTACACGTTACACACTGTCATCATTATTGTTGTTGTTGTTGTTTACATATTTACGTGGTTTGTATTTGGTTACAGAATGCACTGAATGCGGCCGTCTTACAGGATTCACGGTCGAAGGAAAAAATGTCAATAGCCGTGCTGGCGGTAGAAGTACAGAAGAAAGAGAGTAAGTCTAATAACATAATGAGAGCTGCTGCTGCTGCTGCTGCTGCTGCTGCTGCTGCTGCTGCTGCTACTACTGCTGCTGCTGCTATTGACCACTATTGTTCTTGGTCTTAGAATGTGCAGAATTCGAGTGCATGTCTACTTTGTCTGAATGGCAATAAAATTTAGTTACTTCAAGCAAAACCATTGTTTACTAATATCTCTCTCTCTCTCTCTCTCTCTCTCTCTCTCTCTCTCTCTCTCTCTCTCTCTTTCTCCCTCTCTCTCTCTCTCTCTCTCTCACTCTCACCCTCTATCTCCCTTCGCTCGCCGCAGGCATGTACGGTTACCACGGCAACGAGAAGCAGGCGTTCCTGCGCGTGACGATGGCGTTGCCGCGGCTCATCGCCCCGGCTAAGCGGCTGCTGCAGCAGGGCCTGCAGATCCCACCGCACTACATGAACAACGCGTTCTCCACCTACGAGAGCAACATTGACTTCGAGATCAGGTGAACACGACGACGACGGGTGTGCACGGTGCGAAATTAACAGTCCGAAGTCATACTCCCTGATTTACTGCCGGACTCCCGGATTCGACATATGCAGGAGTCCGTGTGACTCCCTGAAAATTCTGCCATACTAACTAGTTCATTCCAGAGCACGGCCTCATGAAATCACCGTATTTTTTCAGCAAATGTCCAAAGAAAATTTGGCAGACGTGCAACCGCATGAATCTTCAAAATAAGCACATGCGTTGTTAATATCTTTAATTTTGAACTTCAGACTGCGGTCTCCCTCATTTTGCCGTGCACTCCCTCTTTTTGAGGGCAGGGAGTCCAGTCCGTAGGACTCCCTTGTTCAAAAGTTAATTTCTACCCCCTGGGTGTGCATGTGTTTGTGGGGGTAGTAGACTGAATTACTTAATCACGATGAAATCGTACAGATCTATTCATTTATACAGATCTATATATCCTGGTGAAGTCGATGATCAGGAGTGTGGGGATGGTAGAGTGAATCTGTTAATGATGATTACAGATCTATTTGTATGCTCCTAAATACTCGTAAAAAAATTGTCGTCGATCATGTGTGTGTGTATGTGTGTGTGTGTGTGTGTGTGTGTGTCAGGGCACAATGACACTGTTGGTGTAACAGTGTGGAGTAAGTGACAGGTTTGACTGAACAGCAAAGTGCGAAGAGACGTTGAGACATAGGGACAGTATAATATGCGCATAGCATGTGCGGATTGTGGCAAAAAACAACTACAAAAAACTAATGATTTTCCGCATGTGACCTGTGGTGCCATCTACAGGTTCATGGTCGACACGAACGTTGTCGGCTGCAACTGGATCGAGCTTCCCGCAGGAAAGTTCCGCGTGCGCGTTGCCGCGGCGATGCAGACTCGCTGCCAGCTGGAAGCGGATGTCTCCTGGGAAGACTTTGTCTCTCATCCCGCCGAGGGAGAGTGGCAGAAGGTGGCGCCACTGAGGCTGCTCAGCTTCGACATAGAGTGCGCCGGCAGGAAGGGTGAGTGGAAGGCGGGTCCCCCGCGCCGCACGCGTGGGACGTAGCAAAATGCTGACCCCCCCTTCTCACACAATCTCTTCTGCTGTAGCTATGATTCTGAGAGCGACTGTGCATTAAACTAATGCGGGTTATCGTAGCTAGAAGGGTTTTCCTCAATGCAGATGTGAAGCCATTTTCGTAAAAACCACCCGGGGGAATCGTGGAAGCTGCAGACGTGAACGTGTATTTTATGTTATTTTACAGACAGGTGTTGAATGAAAAGAAAATAATGTATGACCTCGCCGGAGGGAGATTAAATTACACACTGCAGAGATGTTACCGGGTGATCGTAGATTCGTACAGGTTAGAACACAGATTCCTTACATTGTAGGGATATTACGGGGAAACGTTAGTGGTGCTAGAACACGTTTTCTGTACATTACAGGGATATTTCCGGAGCCGGAGAAGGATCCTGTCATACAGATAGCTAACATGGTGGTGTGTCAGGGACAGCATAACAAGCCGTTCGTGCGTAACTGCTTCACGCTGCGTGCGTGCGCTCCCGTAGTCGGCTCACAGATTCTCTCTTACGAGACGGAGGCAAAGATGCTAGTGGTAAGATAAACGACACGCGGCGCCCTCTCCCGGCGACTTTTCTATAACGTCTAGACTTTCTAGACGTTTCCGTTTTTGGTTATTTACGATGTTTTTTTCGGGTTCGAAGAGTTTTTAGCCGCAGATGCAAATAGATAGAATGATGAAGATGAGAGGTGAGCCTGTATGACAAAGGTAGAAAAATAGCTATTCTTGACTTATGACTTTTAACTTCTGACCATTTAAGCTATTTGTGACCCTTAACATTTGAACAACTTTCCTATTTCATTCGTTGCTCCTGACTTTTCTATTCACGACCATTCATATTTCGCATTGACATTGCTTTTGATTTTTACTACAACCATTACCATTTGTGACCTTTGACCTTTGACCTCTGTAGAAGTGGGCGGAGTTTGTGCGGGAGGTAGACCCTGACATCATCACCGGCTACAACATACAGAACTTTGATCTGCCGTATCTGATCAACCGCGCCGCCACGCTCAAGGTAGCGCCTTCTATGCCTCAAAATTATAACTACTAACTATAACTATTATGTGTACACATATATATATATATATATAGCCTGTGCTATTCTGTTGACAGATATATCTCTCTCTATCTCTCTGTCTCTCTTTTTCTCTTTTGCTGTCTCTCACGCACGCTATCTCTCTTTATCTCTGTTCTGCTCTCTCTCTCTCTCAGCTCTCTCTTCTCGCTCTCTCGCAGCCACCCCTGTCTTTCTCTATCTCTCTCGCTCTCTCCGACTCTCTCATCTCTCTCATCTCTCTCTCTCTCACTCTCTCCTCTCCCTCCCATCCATACCGGCCCCGCCCCCCTCTCATCTTCTCTCTCCCTCTCTCCCTCCTCTCTCCCCCCCTCTCTCTCTCTCGTCTCGTCATCTCGTCAATCCCCACTCCCTCTTCACAGTGTGTCCGCACGTCTCTGTCTACCCACAGGCGACGGAGTTTCCGTACATCGGTCGCGTGCGTCACCGAGCGACGACGATCAGGGAGTCGACGCTGCAGTCGAAGCAGATGGGACGACGCGAGAACAAGATACTCAACATAGAGGGACGCGTGCAGTTCGACCTCTGCAGGTACGGCGTCACGACCATACCAGCGCTGGCGTACATATCAATGTGAAGTGTGACTAGACGTATCACGAGTACATAATAAGAAGAATAAATACACCTGTTTAACAGCGCTTTTGCCTAGTTTCAACTTAAATATTCTAGTCAATATTAATAATATACTATCTTCAAACTTTGACCGTATTTCGTCTATGATTCTCCTTAATCATATGACAACGACCAATTTACCTGAAATTCTTAATGTTCAATCGAAAAGTTCTTTTGAATTACGAACACGGTTCAAAGCAGTTTCCTCACGAATGCAACACGTTTAGGGCGAAAGTCGACCAAAGTTATATCCGGCGGCAGCACCAGTCTGTAATTCAAGATACAAAATAGAACCAATAGAACTACTATATCCATTACTAAACTTTCACCTAACACATCGCACATTCTGGAAACTGTTTGAAACGAGTCATATTCAAAGAACTTTTTTGAAAACACAATACGATTTTCTAGTAATATTGTGGTGTCTATACTGATCAAGGGAAGACTATAGCAAAATAAGTAAATTTGAATATATTTTATTATCACATATTTGTAATACGTAGATATTACTAAGTGAAAAGCTATGCAAAAACGCTGTTAAAACGGTGTCATATTTCTTCTCGACGTATTATTTACTCGTCTTGACGGATAGTATGTAATATCGGTCTGTGACTGAGGCATGATTTATATTATATAACGTATATTATTATATAGCAGTGTTTCCCCCTGTGCCAAAAAGCGTCTGTGAGGCTTGTAAATTTTTTTTGTGATGTTTTGCTGCGTTTTGGGGTCTCTAGCATAAGCAACAGCAGGTGTTGGCCAAGCTAGGGGACTGGGGAATTTCTTGAAAAACATGGTGTCATTCTTAAGCTATTCTGAACCGACAATTGATGAGAACTCTCTGAATTCTCTTTCAAAGTGTCAAAAGTTCGTCGGTTCAGCGAGGCGGTGCTTTCGACAAATTCGTGTTGTCGGCTGAGAATTTGAGCGAGTGCGCCTGCCTCCTCGTATGTCAATGCAGGGGAAGCACTCACTGTACATGATATAAATGTATTTATATCGTGTCACTGTGTCTAGCTGTTACTGTGAGACTACAAGATGTGGTCTTACACGTTGAATGATATATATATATATATATATATTATTAGATGTGATATCATCACATACAAAAGTGGCTGGCTATGCTGTAATGTATTAATGTATAATCTAATGTGACTATGTGTTTAGGTGTTACTGCGAGACTACAAGCTGCGATCGTACACGCTGAATGCCGTGTCGTTTCACTTCCTACAAGAGCAGAAGGAAGATGTTCATCATTCGGTCATCACCGACCTACAGGTGGGAACACACGCACTCAACTCTCCTGCTCCCGCCTTTCCTCCTCCTGCTGCTTGCTCCTCCTCCACCTCCTCCTCGCTGTGCTCCTCCTCTCTCCTCCTGCCTCCTCTTTTATCCTAGCTGCTCCTTCCTCCACTCCTCCTGCTGCTGCGCTTCCTCCTCTCTCCTTATCTCCGTGCTGCTCCTCCTCCACTCGCTCTGCTCCTCCTCATGCTGCCACCTCCTCCGTCTCTCCCTTATGCTGCTGCTGCCTCCTCCAGAACTCCATGCTGCTGCCGCTCCCTCCTCCTCTTTATCCTGTCCGCTGCCTTCCTCCAGCTCCTCCTGCTGCTGCTGCTTCCTCCTCACCCTTAATCGCTGCGGCTCTCCTCGCACCTCCTGCTGCATCCTCCTCCACCTCGCTCCCTGCTGCTGCTCCGCCTCCCCTCCTCCTCCTTACTCCTCCGCTCTCCTCCACTCCGCTGCTGCTGCCCTCTCTCCTCCTTCCTCCAATCCTGCTGCTCCTGTCTCCCACTCTGCTCTGCTGCTGCTCCCTGCCTCCTCCACCCCCCTTATCTCTGCTGCTCCCTTCCACTCCTCCTCCTCCTTATCTCTGCTGCTCCTCCCTTCCACCTCCTCCTCCTGCTCGCTCCTGCTCTCCTTATCGGTTGCTTGCTCGCTCCTCCACCGTCCTGCCGCTGTCTCGGCACCTCCTCCTCCTCCTTATCCTGCTGCTCCTGCTCGACCTCCTGCTGCTGCTCCTCCTCCTCCTCCTCCTCTTTATCCTGCTGCTCCTCCTCCACCTCCTGCTCCTGCTACTACTCCTCTTCCCCACACTTCGCTCACCTCCCCCGCTGCCACCTGCCCTGCCTCCTCCTTTCTCCTCTTCCTCGTCCTCCTCCTCCTCTACCTCATCATATTTCTCTGCTTCCACCTCCTCCTCTTTCTCTGCTTCCACCTCTTCCTCCTCGCGCCCCTCTCCGCTCTCCTCTCTCCTCTTTTCCTGCTCCACCTCTTCCATCCCTTCTCTCTTCTTCACTCCTCCTCTTGTCTTTGCTTGCCACCGAGTCCTCCTCGTACCGCCATCGCTCTCTTCCCTCAGCCGGCCGTCTCTGCCCGTGCCTCCGCCTTACTGCCTGTTAGCGACAGACATGGCGGTGGCTCAACTTGTTCTGCACGAGAGAGAGATAAGACATTCTAAAAACAATGCCTAGCGACAAAGTTACACACACATATAAATAAATAAATATATATACATATATATATAAAAACACATATGAATGTATATATATAATTATGTTTAAATAATTATGTATAATATATATATACCGGGTTTCTTATACATAGGAGGCACAGTGGCGCACCACCATTGTCAAATGTCTGATAAGTATATCCTGTATCTATATACCTATAAGTATATCAATACATCCTGTATTTGAATTCATCATTCACGTTTTCCCCCCAAACTGGCCATTACCTTCTTTGTCTAATTTTCCCTCAGAAGAAACCCTGTATATATATATATATATATATGATTATGTTTGCGTTACCGTGTGTTAGAACGGCAGCGATCAGACGCGACGACGTCTCGCCGTGTACTGCATGAAGGACGCCATCTTGCCTCTGAAGCTGCTCGACAAGCTCATGTCCGTCATCAACTACATGGAGATGTCACGCGTCACGGGCGTCCCCATCAGCTACCTGCTGTCGCGGGGTCAGCAGGTCAAGGTCGTGTCACAGCTGCTGCGCCAGGTGAGACACGCACACGTCACGCATGTGCAGGTCGCGCGTCACAAATAGGTGACATCGTCACACGACGTCGCATAGGTGTGACCTCGTCACAGTGCAGTGGAGGTGTGTGTTATGTGTGTGCGTGCGCGAGTGTACATGCGTGCGCGAGTGTACATGCGTAAGTCAGCGTACGTGCGTGTAAACGTGCTTGCGTGCTTGTGTGTTCGTAACTCCGTGGTACTGAGTGCGTTTCTGTGTTTACAGGCGAAACTGCAGGACCTGATAATGCCAGAACACAAGACTGAGGTGGGAGAGGAGTTCACAGGAGCCACTGTCATCGAGCCAGTGAAGGGGTAAACGCGAGTGTTTATACAAGTATATGCAATACTGTCTGTACAAGTACACGCAGTTTTATTGTCTGTGTTACATACATCGAGCCAGTAAAGTGGTACGCTAGTGTTGCAATCATGTACACATACACGGGGGGCAGTGGCAGCGGATCTGTGTTCCGTAGAGACGGTACAGGCCTCCCCTTCACACGCACTGGGGTAGTGGCAGTGGAGCTGTGTCCCGTAGAGACGGACCAAGCCTCCCCTTTACACGCGCGGGTTAGGGACAGTGGAGCTGCATCCCATAGAGATGGTACAGGCCTCCCCATTACACGCACTGGGTTAGGGACAGTGGATCTGCATCCCGTAGAGATGGTCCAGGCCTCGCCTTTACATGTGCGGGTTAGGTACAGTGAATCTGCATCCCGTAGAGATGGTCCAGGCCTCCCCTTCAATTGCGCGGGTTAGGTACAGTGAATCTGCATCCCGTAGAGACGGACCAGGCCTCCCCTTTACACGCATTATCTTCTCACGTTCGTTGTTGCCGTGGTGACACGTTTTGCAGGTATTACGACGTGCCGATAGCAACGCTGGATTTCTCGTCTCTGTATCCGTCTATCATGATGGCTCACAACCTGTGCTACACGACCCTGCTCCCACTGAGCGCTCGCTCCAGGTAAGAGAAAGAAAGGGAGAGGGAGAGAGAGAGAGAGAGAGAGAGAGAGTGAGTGTCAGAAGACTTTTGAAGGTCGCGATTAAAGATCATTAAATCTACAGTGTTGAAGCGATTGTCCCTGTTAATGATATTAATAATAATATTAATTAATTTAAATTAATAATAATTGTGGTTATATTTATTAAACACTAATAATATATATGCATATAGATGAATAATTAATAATATCATTAATATGAATTTCTTTGATAGCATCTCTCCGGACGACTACATCAAGACGCCGTCTGGGAATTATTTTGTGAAGCGGAGTCTTAGGAAAGGTCTGCTGCCAGAAATCCTCGAAAATCTTTTGGATGCCAGAAAAAAGTGAGCACAACTGTTTTTATACTGTATTTACACTGGAAGGGTTTATGCTGCCACAATATCTCCCTATCCATCTATCTACCTATATCTGTCTGTCTGTCTCTCTCTCTGTCTGTTTNTGTTGCGGACAACGCGATTTGATGCCTGGGTTGTCTGCAGGACAACGGCATTCTTTTTCTTATTTCGAGCACTGTTTACGTATATATTATAACCTACAACTTAGCGCTACGATCGAAATTTACGCATATTATAACACCTACAACTTAGTGCTGTGATAGAACTTAACGTATATCATAACTTGCAACTTAGTGCTGCGATAAAACTACATATATTATAACCTACAACTTGGTCCTACGATAGGACTTTAAGGTACATTATAACTTACAACTTGGTGCTATTATAGTACTTTCAATAAGCTACGTAATTACAATTGTTATGGTTTTGTATGTTGCTGCAGAGTGTCACGGCGTTCGGCCGCATGATGATCAAGGAGTCGCAGAGAATCGTAGAGGAGCAGTTTACTGTGGAGAAAGGCTATCCTGCAGATGCAAAGGTAATCTGGCGATGTAGCCATAGATATATACTGTGTATACTATATATACTATATATGTAGCCATAGATATATACTATATATGTAGCCATAGATATATACTATATATGTACCCATAGATATATACTGTATATACTATATATACTATATATGTAGCCATAGATATGTACTGTATTATACTATGTATACTATATATATGTAGCCATAAATATATACTGTATTATACTATGTATACTATATATGTAGCCATAGATATATACTGTATTATACTATGTATACTATATATATGTAGCCATAAATATATACTGTATTATACTATGTATACTATATATGTAGCCATAGATATATACTGTATATACTATATATACTATATATACAGCATGATAGCAGTTTACAGTGGAGAAGGGCTATCCTGCAGATGCAAAGCTAACCTGGCTGTGTGGCATGATATATACTGTATTATGTAGCATAATATATACTATATATATACTCATGTAGCATGATATATATTATATATACTATGCGACTATAAATACAATGCTGCCTTGCGAAAATAAATTGAACTGAATGCACGTGCTATCTGGCTGGCTAATATAAAAATAAATCGAGAATATATATTGTGAGAATTATTTAAATTTTTAATTGTTTAAAGGAATTTTACATCTAGAAAGAGAAACCTGAAAACAGAGAGAAAGTGCATTCGTGCGTGCATTTTTTTCCCTGATTGCTCGTGTGGGTGCGTGTTAGTGTGTGTGTTCGTGTTAGTGCACAACTCCTGAACGCTCGCTTGTTTCTCGTAGGTCATATACGGCGACACCGACTCCATCATGGTGAAGTTTGGCGTGCCGACGGTTGCCGAGGCGATGTCGCTTGGTACGGAGGCTGCTGCTCGCATCACGACAGAGTTTACTCCGCCGATCAAGCTAGAGTTCGAGAAGGTACGAGGAAAGTTACAGTGAGATGTGGGAACTCTCTATTACCATATCTGGCTAATATTTCTCTCTACTGTTTCTCTCTAATATTTCTCTCTACCATATCTCTCTACTGTTTCTCTCTATCATATCTCTCTACGGTTTCTCTCTACGGTTTCTTTCTACCATATCTCTCTACTGTTTCTCTCTACCATATCTCTCTACGGTTTCTCTCTAGTATTTTTCTCTATTGTTTCTTTCTACTGTTTCTCTCTACCATATCTCTCTACGGTTTCTCTCTAGTATTTTTCTCTATTGTTTCTCTCTGTTGTTTCTCTCTACCATATCTCTCTACTGTTTCTATCTACAGTTTCTCTCTAATATTTCTCTCTACTGTTTCTCTCTAGTATTTTTCTCTACTGTTTTTCTCTACCATATCTCTCTACTGTTTCTATTTACTGTTTCTCTCTAATATTTCTTTCTACTATTATTTCTCTCTACTGTTTCTCTCTACTATATCTCTCTACTGTTTCTCTCTACTATATCTCTCTAATATTTCTCTCTACCGTACCTCTCTACCATATCTCTCTACTATATCTCTCTACCATATCTCTCCATCCGTTCTCTCGACAGGTGTATTATCCGTACCTGCTCATCAATAAGAAGAGGTACGCGGGCCTGTACTTCACACGGGCGGAGACGCACGACAAGATGGACTGTAAGGGCATCGAGACGGTGCGCCGCGACAACTGCCCCCTGGTGGCCAATCTCATCAACACCTGCCTGCAGAAGATTCTCATAGACAGGTGTGAACGTCGATGACGACGACGACGATGATGATGACAATGATGACGACGATGATGACGACAACGACGACAACGACAACGATGATGATTACGACGACGACGACGACAACGATGTTGTTTTTCTGGTTTTTTGGCTCTATTTACAGAGCATAGAAAGAAGGTTGTGAGTGAGTGAAGTGAAATGTAAAATTGGATAGGCACGTCAGGGTAGGCAGTGGGAAATAGTAGAAATAGGTAGTTAGTCAGTGCTCGAAATAAGCATTGTCCAGTTGTCCGAGACAACCAGAATTTGCGCCGGACAACCTAACCAGTCTGAGACATTGTCCGGTGGACAACCAAGAAACCCTATTGCTATCCCTAAAGCTGGGGGCACACGAGCGTATTTTATTGCCCGATCGCGGCGATTAAAATTGCCAGCGAATTTAATCGCCCGATCGATTGTCAGTTCAGATGCAAAATATTGAAAGCAAGAGGCTATACACCATAGATTAATTGGGTACCACGCGTATATAAGATAGCCGAGTCGGTTTAGAGTCAGTGTTAGGGTTATGGTAGGGGCACACGAGAGATTTTTATCGCCCAATCGCGGCGAATTTTAAAATCGCTTGAAAAATTCGCCCGTGTGCCCGTTCACGTCGACGCCGATTTTAATCGCCCGTATCAAAAATGTTAGATGGCTCTGAAATTCGCTACGTGTGCCCCTTCGTAATCCCAACCAACTGGTGTAGGCTAGCTGGCACAATAATGTTCAGTTTCATACTTCAAATCCGAGTGTTTTCTAGCTCATCAAGAAATCTTTTAAAATCGTGAATAACATAAAAATATGGGACCAGCTGCTATTTCCAACACTGGTATATGTCAGGTTTTCTGATTTATGAGAGGTGAACTCGATTTGGAACCAGCAAACCAGCAAGTTTCCAAAATTTGCTGGCGGAGGACCCCCGTACAGCCTGTTTTTCACCCCTCCTTGGAATCCTAGACCCGCCACTGAACAATTACATATCTTGGGAGCAGAGAACAATGAACAAAAATGTCGTCTTTTCGCATGGCGCCCAAAACAAAGATTGCCAGAGCTGAGAGGTAGAGGAGCCGTAGGGTGTGGAGAGGGAGGCGAGGAGCCAGTAAAATATTAAGTCATCCACTATTTTGCGCAGTTTGCTGTTTTTGGCACCCCTTGTTAAAAAATCCTGGCTACGCCACTGTTTTTGGGTGTTTTCTGATCGTATTATTATGTGATTAAAAATAGGAGATTTGGGGATGTTTTTTGGGACAACCAGAAATCGTTGCGGACAACCCAATTTGATGCCTGAGTTGTCCGCAGGACAACCACATTTTTTTTCTTATTTCGAGCACTGTTAGTATACTGGGGTAAAAATAGGACAGAGGGCGTGGGTACGTGTGTGTGTGTGTATGTATGTATGTGTGTGTGCGTGCGTGCGTGCGTGTGATGGTTGCTGTTGCTATGTGCCTGTGTGAGTGACTCGCACATGTGTGCGTGCGTGCGTACGTGCGTGCGTGCGTGCGTGCGATGGTTGCGGTATGAGTGACGCGCTTGTGTTTTGTGTTGGGCAGGGATCCGGAGGCAGCGACGGAATACGCGAAGCAGACGATATCGGACCTGCTGTGTAACCGCGTCGACATCTCACAACTCGTCATCACCAAGGAACTCACAAAGGATGTAAGTCTATGAATATAATATAGATATAATATATATATATATATATATGATATAGATATAGATATAATATATATATATAAGGGTAGATGTAGTAATAGTAATACTAGTAACGTTACGAATGCCATAACTCCTGATGTGTGCGACAGGATGATGGGGTGCATGTGTGCGTGTGTGCGTGCGTGCGTATGTGAGTGTACATGTGTGTGTTTGTCTGGCTGCAAGATTACAAGGCGAAACAAGCACACATGGAGCTGGCACCTGGTTATCGTATTTGTGTAGTTAGACCACGCGTGCGCATGCGCATGTGTTTTTGTGTGTGTGTGTGTGTGTGTATGTGCGTGCGCGTGTGAGTGTATATGTGCATGTGTGTGTGTGTTTGTCTGGCTGAAGGATTACAAGGCGAAACAAGCGCACATGGAGCTGGCAGATGTAGTGATCCTACTTGTGTAGTTAGACTGCGTGCATGTGCGCGCGCGCATGTGTGTGCGTGCGTGCGTGTGCGTGTGTGAGTGTATATGTACATGTGTGTGTACATGCGTGTACATGTGCAGGGTGCGAAATTAACGGGAGTCCGGAGTCAAATACTCCTTGAATTACTGACGGACTCCCTTATTTGACATATGCAAGAGTCCGTGTGACTCCCTGAATATTCTGCCATACTATACTAACTAGTTCGTTCCAGAGCACGGCCTCGCGGAATTACCGTATTTCTTCAGCAAATTTCCAAAGAAAATTGGGCAGATGTGTAACCGCATGAATCTTCAAAATAAGCACGTGTTATTGTTAATATCTTAAATTTTGAACTTCAGACTGCGGACTCCCTCATTTTGCTACGGACTCCCTCATTTTGCTACGGACTCCCTCATTTTGCTACGGACTCCCTCTTTTTGCTACGGACTCCGTCATTTTGCTACGGACTCCCTCATTTTGCTACGGACTCCCTCTTTTTGCTACGGACTCCCTCATTTTGCTACGGACTCCCTCTTTTTAAGGGCAGGGCGTTGGACGCCCGTGTTCAAAAGTTCATTTCTATCCCTGCATGTGTATATGTGTGTGTTTGTCTGGCTCAGGATTACAAGGCGAAGCAGGCACACGTGGAGCTAGCACATAGGATGAAGAAGCGAGATGCGGGCTCGGCCCCCGCCCTCGGGGACCGCGTACCCTACGTCATCATCTCAGCATCCAAGGGCACTGCCGCATACATGAAGTCTGAGGTGAGTGCTAGAGAGGGAGAAGGAGGGGAGAGAGAGAGAGAGAGAGAGAGAGCGAGAGCGAGAGCGAGAGAGAGAGAGAGAGAGAGAGAGAGAGAGAGAGAGAGAGAGAGAGAGAGAGAGAGAGAGAGAGAGAGAGAGAGAGAGAGAGAGAGAGAGAGAGACAGAGAGAGAGAGAGAGAGAGAGACAGAGACAGAGACAGAGACAGCGACAGAGACAGAGACCGAGTGTGTGCTGAGGAGGCATGGACCCAAATTTTTCCACACATGCAAAATTGTTTCTTTTCCAAATTACTAGTACTTTATTACTAAGCATTATTTTTACAGTGTATGATTGCAGTGCTGATTGGCTAGAGCTGCCTGCCAATCGCACCATTTCAATTAATAACAATCGTGATGATTTATTCTACACTTCGTAATTACCTATCATTCATTCTCATTAACATTTCTCTTGAATTCTTTTGCTCGATTTCTTACCGTATTCTGACGGTAGATGGCAGCACGTTACACGTTACCATCACGCGAGTATTTTTTCACCGGGGAATTTTTCCGCCGTTATGCAGGATCCGATCTATGTACTGGACAACAACATTCCGCTGGACACTCAGTATTACCTGGACAACCAGCTGTCGAAACCACTGCTGAGGATATTTGAGCCCATCCTCGGCGCGTCGAAGGCAGAGTCTAAACTCTTACGTAAGGCCTCGCCACCGAAACTGTGACCTCATAACTACGAATACATATTATATATGTACAATTATAAGTAGTGTAATATATACTAATATGACTAGTGTAATGTATACTAATATAACTAGTATAAGATATAATTATAATACCTTTTATGTGACTAGATATAAGATGCATCTCACTCAGTGATGAGTTGTTTTGTTTTGTTTTGCTTGTAGAGGCGTATGTCTTGATTGGAGATACGTTTGTCTGCCTGTGCTGGTGGTTCATAATGTTGTTGTTTTCTGACTGTAGGTGGCGTGCATAACATTGTTGTTTTCTGACTGTAGGGGGCGATCACACGCTCAGTAAGACGGTCGTGCATTCTAAGGTCGGTGGATTGATGGCTTTCGCTAAGAAGCGTAGCACCTGCGTGGGATGCAAGGCCATACTCGACACAGACGGTAACGCGCAGGCAGCGGGGGAATTAGTCGTCTTATAGGGAAAATGCTGCTCTGGGTATTAAATTTAATCAGAAGTTGTGAAGTAAAGGTGTACTATATTACAATATATGCTATTATAAACAAATGTTTGCAGCAACAACACAGTGTGTGTAATACATGACATATACTATATATGCTATACCAGGTGTCACCATTTTAATATTCTGGGGCAAGCAAGTGTTCAAGGTTTGACAAAATATTCCCTCGAATGAGTTTTTCCAGGTGCATTGACTTTTTAATGACACTCTGTGAGGGAGGGAGATATAGACACAATTTAAAATGCATAATGCAATAGTTTTCTTTTTTGTTCACCAGGTGTCGCCGTGTGTAAACACTGCAAGTCTAGGGAGTCGGAGATCTACCAGAAAGAGGTGCGTTTCGAATTCACACAGGGGCGGATCCAGAGGGTTTGGGTGACCAGTTTCCATAGTTCTAGTCAGAGCTAGGGGGTCCGGGGGCGTGCCCCCCTCCGGGAATTAAAAAAAAATTAGGCTACATTTGGTGCATTCTGGTGAATTTTGAGGGTCAATTCTGAAGATACCCAGCCAGTGACCGGTTTCTGGAAAAAATCCGCCCCTGTCACGTGTTGTTACACAGTATTGTAACAATAACATATCTGTCTGTCAGATATGACCGCGTCCCACTGAATATTGTTGTTAGGTTACTCAAACTAGACTGGTTTATAAATAGTTTCACATGCTTATTAATATTAATAATGGTGATGATGATGATGATGATATGATGATGACGATGACGATAATAATGATGATGACGATGGTTATGATGATGACGGTAACGATGACGATGATAATTAATAATAATAATAACAACAACAACAATAATTGTTCTCCTTGCAGATCCTACAGATGGCGTCACTAGAGGTGAAGTTTTCGCGGCTGTGGACACAGTGTCAGCGATGTACAGGAACTCTGCATGAAGACGTGCTGTGCACCAAGTATGTGCTGTACTGTGCAGTCTCTGTACTCTCGTCTCTGTGCATGCATGCGTGTGCGCCTGTGGCAGGCTATATGTTTATATATGTGTGTGTGTTGTGTTGTGTGTGTGTGTGTGTGTGCGTGCGTGCGTGTGTTGTGCGTGCGTGCGCGCGCGTGTGCGTGTGTGCCTGTGGGAGGTTATATGTGTAAATATATATATACATGCTAGTATAAATGCACACTACTACACAGATTATGCACGCAGATGCATTTATTTGTTTTCCCTGTGATTTGTTCACGGAAATTGTGTGTATTTATATAGTTTTCCTTTCGTGTTTGTGTGAATCGGTCTCGTGTTGTCTTTCAGCTCTGACTGCCCCATCTTCTACATGCGGAAAAAAGTTCAGAAAGACCTCGACTCCCACTTGCAAGTCGTTCAGCGGTTCGGCAGCCCCACCTGGTGAGGAGGAATGAAAGTATTGCGACGACCGTGTTTAAACACGACTAGAGTTAAAATTTATTGCATTTACAGAAGGTTAGCATCGTACGTAATTACGTCACACTAACGATAAGTATCATGAACATGTAGAATATCCATGTATAAGTATATCGCGAATAAAAAGAGCAAAAGAGTTCGAGGAAGCAGAAGAGAGAAAGGTGAGAGAGAAGTGTTGTACATAGTTTGTCTCTCTGAATAAATACATGCGTGGAATAAAAACCTATTCTAAGAATTTCTATTCTGCTTAAATTTGATATCTTTTCCCATTTTCAATTATCCAAGGATATTTTACATCTTGTACGAGAAACGGAGAATGCGAGTGCAAAAGAGTCGAGACACAGAGAGAGAGAGAGAGAGAGAGAGAGTGCGTGAGAGATAGAAAGAGAGAGAGAGAAAAAAAGCTAGTAAAAAATGGAGTGAGTGAAAGATCGAAAAAGTGAATGGACGAGCGAGAGAGAGACAGATAGAGAAAGAGAGAGAGAGAGGAGAACAAACATTCTTCTTTTCCTCAGCATGTAGAATCTATCACAGGTTCTCCATGACGTAGAAATTAAGCAGCCGGCGCTAGAAAGTAAACCGACTGATTTTTCTAACGTAAACAACCGGCATGCCATCTGGCTGCGTGAGCGAGAGAGAAAGAGGGGGAGAGAGAGAGAGAGAGAGAGAGAGAGAGGGAGCAGAGAGAGAGAGAGCGAAGAGAGGGGGGAGCAGAGAGATAGAGAGCGAAGAGAGGGGGGAGCAGAGAGAT